GCAGCACCCTTGAGAAAACAACAGCCTGCAGGGCACTGTGGAATCCCATCTGATGGCTGCATGAGGTCTCGATCTCAGGTCTGCCAACTTGCAACTGAAGCATGTGCCGTCACACTGCCAGCAAGCGTGCAAGACGAGCGAGCGAGACAGAGAGAGAGAGAGAGAGAGAGAGAGAGAGAGAGAGAGAGAGAGAGAGAGAGAGAGAGAGAGAGAGAGAGAGAGAGAGCGAGAGAGTGAGTCATTCAGAGAGAGAGAGAGAGGTCAATCCGGAGAAGTTGCAGAACCTGCTGATTTCTCTTCCATGACCAACAGGCTTCAGCACTGCAAACTCGCCTCGCATGGACAAATCAGCATCTTCTGCTGCTGTGCTAAGAACGGGAGCTCACGGGCCGGCATTGCGAGCCCTCTTGGATCGATTGCTCTCCTTGGCCATCACGTCCTTCATTGCCTGGATGGCGGCAGACTCCCTCTTCGCCACAGATGCCTCGCGAGCAGTCACGGAGAGCTCCCTCTCATCGAGATCCTTCTCCTTCTTCTCCAGCTGATCTTCCCAGTCCTTGAGGCGTTGGTCGCGAATGGACTCCGTGCGGGTGATCATCGCCTCGATGTGCCCAAGCATCTGCGACACTGCCTCTGCCACCTTGTCGCCACCAGACATGGCAGCAAGCACAGGAATCCTAAAAATCTCGCACCGAGCTTGAGTCTGCGTACTGCAGATCCAACAACTTTTGTCAGCACCCACCACACTGCACGATCACTCGCAATCGCACACCCGGTTCATGGATCGCTTACAATCACGAAGCACAAGTCGGTCCTCCCGGAAGCCATTCACCATTTTTTCGTAGCTTTCCTTCACGGAGGCACTCTTCAGGCCCTCGTGCCTGACACGGCAGGATTAATCATCGAACGGTAGTCGAAAGACCCGAATCATGAAAGATAAATTCATACATACCAAACAAGTTGTAACAGTATATATACATATGTGCTTAGTAATGTGTACATGCGTACATACATATATACATACAGACATACATGCATAGTCACTTGCATAGACCCATACAAGCATGCATGCATCCACACAACCATAGAACATACACATGTATATGTATATATGTGTAGGAACGTAACATGTACACATGTACAAATACATGTGCATGCATACATACATACATACATTACAGACATTGCAAACACATATACATAAATACATTCAGACATCCAGCCCAGTTACAAATATAGCCAAAACACAGGCACTCGGCCAACACGTGGTTCATCACTAGGTTAGATGCATCAATGCACACCTATATACGGCGACATAAGTATAGACATAAACCTCAACCTCCTCCACAAACACATATAACATATGTAGACACACAAAAGCATTCATTCCTGGATTGGTCTATGGGTTCGTTCTTACCTACATTCATATGGACATACACACATATGGCCTGAGCCGGACCACACCTGCGTGCCTGCGGTCCTGTCCCCTTCGCACTTCTGCCCTCGATCTTTGCTCATCTCTCTGTCTCTGTCCGAAACGATCTCGCTCTCTCTCTCTCTGTCTCTCTCTCTCGCTCTTTCTCTCTCGCTCTCTTTCTCTCTCACTCTCTCTCTCTCTCTCTCTGTCTCTCTCTCTCTCTCTCTCTCCCTCTCTCTCTCTCTCGCTCTCTCTCACTCTCCCTCTCCCCCACCTGTCACTGTTTTTGCAGCTTTCATGCGGCTAACTTTCTCTCACTAAGCCACTCTCTTGCCTCTCTTTGAGCGGGGCTTGGGCAGCTGTTTTATAGTTTCATTGGTCTGGCTGCTTTCGTGTTTGCGTCGGTTGTGTTTGTGTCCGTGTTGTGAACCGATTTTGAAAGTCTGGTGTGCTCGTATGGACACAAGGAGGCAAATGCTGCCGAGAGAGAGCGAGAGAGAGAAACAAAGGCCCACAAACGATGCACAACCTAATGCCTCTTGTGCTTCACCACAAGCGACTTCAGGAGCTCGTGAATATCATCCATATTCTTGGCACCGGTGATGCCGATGTCCACTGGCTTCCGACCAGTAACTCAGCAACAAAGAACATGGATTCGTCTGACGTGCTTGACATGAATCCCACCTAGGAGTGATGCAAGCAAGTTGCAGAGCATGCAAAGCGAAGCCAGCCGAGCCCTCCAGACTCGACCAGCCATCTTTGCCTGAAGCAAACCAGCAATCAACAATCGAACAGTGCTTGCATTTGCAACCGGCCGTGCGAGGCGTGCCTTCTCAAGTGCCGTGGTTTCTCCAGGCTTGTCCTTCTGCTTGCGAAACCGAGCAGCAGTCTCGTGCAGTATGCTCTCCTGACCAAATCGAGATTTCAAAGCATGAAACCGCTTCACTCAACTTGGCGAGTTCATGATTGCATCCAAATCACACATTCGCCGCCAGCTTCGACCAAGTCACTTGGAAGGCACCCATTGAGCCCGGCGATGACATAGCTCATCTGGCGATGGGATAAGTCATCCATGTTCCGCTGCTTGGTGCCTCGTGAGAACTCCTTCTGCGGCAGCTGCAGAATGGAGCCCTTGTCCAGCTCACCAGCCTCGGAGGGTTCCTCCTCCGACGAGCTTGGCTCTCCTGGGAAATCAGAACGAATCACTGATTCTCGAATGAGTGGATGCATGAGGCTGCAACAGACTGGTCTATGGCGAATGGCAACATCACAAATAATCGCATTCAGAATCGAGGTGCGTTTGACCTTCTTGTCCTTCGCCTCTTTTTTCCCACTGCCTCTCGTCCTCTTCAAGGAGTCACCAGCAACACCTCACGAGGCGTGAGAATTACGAACTGGGGAAGCCCAAAAAGTACAAAGGTTTACTTTCCTCGAATGGCATGCCCCCCTGTCGCACACTCTGGCCTGTACCGACAACAGACTCAAGCTTGTCGACGGCGGACCGCATCATGAACTGCTTCGCCTGGGATTCCTCATCCCCGGCCAACTCGATGGACTTGGAGGTGTCCCTCCTGCGACCACTTATTCGGATGCGACCAAAACTCAGTGCAGGATGTGTTGAGGACTTTGAGAAAAGGCACATGAACGACATCGTGGGTTTTGGGGCGAACAATACCCGACCAGCGGATTCGCTGAGCTTGCAAGCGATGGCATGGTTGTGGGTCTGTGCTCGGCTTTAGGCTTCGAAGTTTTGGGCTGGGGTTCAAGAATAGCGGCCTGCGGGTTGACTTTGGCTATGCTGACTAGTGATCTGCCTCCGAGCCGCCTCCAGGGTCTTCGGGTCGAGTGTTGGATCGGCATTCAAAACCCACACAGTCAGACACAATCTCGATCTCGGTTGGGCGGCTACTCCGCCGTTCTAAGTTTGCATCAACACACCTCCTAGACGAGGCGGACTAGCCGCCTGGCGGAATAGCCGCCTATCCTTGCCCTGCAGAAGACTCGCGGGCAAGCCGCGAGGCGGCCCTATCCGCCGTTACGACTAAGATATCCGAAACCCCATTCTGCAAGCCGCCGTCCTCGTGAGTCGTGGCCCACCCATGGGGCTGATCTCTTCAAAAGCAGGGACTCAAAGCGGCTGCGAACAGCAATCCGAGACTCGTTCGTTGCAACGACGAAACTAGTTTCTCAGGCAATAAGTACGAGCTAAGCGGTATTTGCAATGGTGTATCTACATTTTGATGCTGCATCAGGCCCTGGGGTTTGCAATAATAACAATGGTCAAGGGACTGTGGGTCTCACAGCAAAGATCGAATGCTCCGAACGATGAGAATCATGGGTTCAAGGTTGCAATACCACCAAGTTGCGGCGACTAGATGAGCAGAACCGGAAGTTGCTACAGCACTGCTTGCAACCACCTGGGAATGTGAATCTATGCTGTGGCATCACACGATTACCATGAATTGGATGGAAATCATGTACTCATCACAAAGACGACGAGGCGTCTCTTCATCAAAGTCCTTACACAATCTCATCCATCGCGAAGGAATGCTGTTTAGTTTGACCACCACTATGTTGGATTCTGCTCAGGACTGAAACATGTAACTGTTCCCGAGTTGACCAGTTCACTATGTATTTCAAACCCACACTCTGAAGTGGCACGTTGGTGCGAACTGCCACGGTGCCCGAACTGGCATGACAATGGGAACCTATGAGTTTAGGTCATCACCAGAAACATCGCAGCAGTGAGACTGGCCATTCAACGAGTCATCACTACGAGCAATCAAACACTAACCGAACTCCATACTGTAGGGGCCTACAGTAATTACCTATACTATTTTGGGGGTTCCTTTTTATACTTGCAGTATAAAGTGCCCCGAAACCTTATTCTAACTATTAAGGCCCCTATACAGAACCCCACGATAGATCCCGTATAGAGCCCTTTAAGGAACCCTTGAAAGGAACCCTACGACCCCTATTCTAGCTATTAATTACCCTTTATTAGTCTGATCCCCCAATCCCCAACATGCACTGGGAAATCGTTTTGTGACATCCCCCTGCCCCGATCCACCTCCTGCGGGCTTTCCGGGAGTCTCTGGGATCTGACCTAATATAGGGCCCTAAGTAATTACCAATACTATTTTTTGGGGGGTTCCTCATTCTAAATTTAAAGTATACTGGGGCCCAAAACTACTCTACTTATTAAGGCGTGTATATTAACTCGTCAAGCTTTAACACCGGCATGCCTTGAACCCTATAGACCCTAAAGCCATGGTCCCGTCACACCCTTCCCCTAAAACTCTATCCTAGGAGTAGTGCACGTTTGCCCTTTTTATCCTCGGGTCTCCTTACCGAAGCCATAAAAGTAGGAAAAAGGGTGCCCTTATTATGAAGGGCTCAGGAACTTGACCTCTGACCCTAAACTCCAAGGGTAAAAGGAGGGACCCTTAATAAGGACCCCTAGGTATATACGCTTAATATAGCTATTATATACCCACTATATAACCCATTATAGGGTAAGGGTCCCCATTAAGGGTCCCTCCTTTTCCCCTTTGATAAACCCTAAACCCTCAACCTCCGCGAGGCGCAGCGCATCCTCATCCGTCAGAAGGGCCGCTTGCCTTGCGCAGCTCTCAAAGGGGCACTCCGTGGCCTGGCTGCCCTAAGAGCCAGGCCGTGAGGTTTAGGGCTCCTTTGAAGCGTTTCTATAAAGGGAACTCCAGAAAGTTGGAATATGGTTTCAGGGTAGGATACCCTATAATTTACCATAAAGGGTTTAGGATAATCATATTCTAACTTTCTGGCTTTTGCCTTAAGGGCTCCTGTGGATGTCAAGGAGGGTTTTCGAGAAGTTTCAAGGGTTCGAAATGCAAGGTGTTGGTTCTGTAGGGTTGTCGCAAGAGTTCTTTAGGGTTTTGTTTTTTGCCTGGATTTTTGGAAGGGTCTTGAAACGTAATTCAGCGGAGCTTCAAATTACACAGATTTACCATAAATGCTGTTGTAAGGGTTAGCATACACCATGCCGGGGGAGAAATTTGAGGAAGTTAAATCCTTCGAGACGTAAGCAGCACCAGCGCTAGCTGCTCTGCAGGTTCCCAAAGCTCTATAAATCCCTAAAGCTAGGCTAGTTTGGGTTGGGTTCTGCGATTTGAATCGTGCTTGATGCACATATGCACTTTTGAACGAATATATATATATATATATACATATATATGTGTGTACAGATGCATATGTATGTTTAAGTTTATATTCTGTTGCAGTACATTAGAGTATAGTATATTGTACTCAAGCATATTACAGTATTTGTATTAGATATGAGACGTATAGAACTAGAGACCTTTAGGAAGTGCATCACTACGTAGTTAGGCTTCTGCATTCAACCCAGACCTTCAACTGCACCCCAGAAGGCCAGTTCTTTAAATTCGGGCCCCTTGGGGGATCCTTTTTATCTAGGATGCCGTACGACTTCTGCTGACCTGATTACAAGGGTACAAAGGGACGCTAGTTTTGAGAACTATCCATATGGTTCAGTGGAGCTTTGAACTACAGAGTTACCACAAGGGGACTAGGGACCCTAATTTAGGGTTTAGGGTTTAGGGTTAGTTACCACAAGGGGGTTTAGAGAACTGCCAGCCAGGCGACTCCAATCAGGACGTCCCGGAGGACCTCTGCCGGGATCCTGGGCCCAGGATCTGACACTAGGGAGAAATTTCTTAGGAGTACTTGGAGGTTCATGGGTAGTTATTAGGGTTCATGCAAGAGTCCCTTTAAAGGGACCTATAGGGATTCTACAAGGGTATAGGGTTTAGGGCCTACTTGGAGGTTCATGGGTAGTTATATGTGGGGCTATAAGGCCATAGGGGTTTAGGGTTCCTTGCAGGGCTCTACAGGGTTTTGGGGTTAGGTTTTAGGGTAGTCATAAGCGGGGTTATACGTCCCCTAATATCGGTTATAATTATAGTTACCCCATTTATAACCCCACTTACAATTGACCATGAACCTCCAAGTAGAGATCATTGTAGTTGTAAGTGGGGTGACAATAACTATAACCAATATTAGGGGACTTATAACCCCATAGCTACCCTAAAACCCAATGCCTAAACCTTGTAGAACACGGTAAGGAACCCTAAACCCCTTTAGCCTTATGACCCCACTTACAACTACCAATGCACCTCCAAGAAAAAAAGTCCACAAGGTGAACCCCTTAGGGTTCAGGGTTGAGTTCTCCTACGATACTGGACAAGTTAGTTGTCTTCATGGATCGTGCAGGTGAGAGGCCTAGCTCTTGCAATATAGGAGTTTCCGAAAAAAGGGGACCCTAACATAATACCTTAAATAGTAGGATCCTTATTACAAGGACCCCAACATACGGTACCCCTAAATTTCGGACACTCCCATATGGGCCACGGAATCACCCTCGAAGCCCCACCTTGCAGCTCCAAACCCCCCCTCCCCCCAAACCCTGAACCGAAAAGAAAGGAAGAAACGAACGACACCAAAAAGGGGCCTGGAGGTTCCATCTTCGAGGTTGCCGGGGCAACGATCCTGGTGGATCAGATCCAGGCCATGTAGAGCTGACCCTGAACCCTACACCCTAAAGACCCGAACCCTAAATTAAGGAACCCCTGATATTCGGAAAACCCCTAAACCCTAAACCATGTTGGGCTGAGGGTGTCTTGATCTCGGCTATTGGCTTCTAGGCTTCGAAGTGTTCAGGGCGTAGGACTTTGGGCTTCGGGCTTATGGTCTATGGTGCATTGGATTCACGCCAGGTACGGTTGGGATTCCTTGGGGCGTTTCGTTGACGATTTGGGGCCTGGTGGTGGGGATTTCGTGGCGGCTGCAGGGGGGGTTGGGTTTTGCGTGGATCAGAGGACAGGGGGGTTTGTTTTCGTGTTCAATGCTTGGTTTCAGGGTCAGGCAGGGGCTGTAAGAACTAGGGCTTTGGTGGAGCTCTTGCTTTTTGTCTGAGGGGCGTTCGAGAATTTGGTTCAAGGATTCAGGTAGCAGATTTCAGGTCAGCGATTCGGGATCGGGGAAGCTCTCTTTGAAGACTTTGAGAGCCGTTTGGCAGCCAAGTAACACGGCAACGACAGCAACAGCATCAACACTTCAGAACCATCACCGCTCTCGGTGACACTACTTAAGCTCTCTTGGTCACCCCCATCACTATCGTCATGATTATTACCGTCACGCTCATCATCAACATCACCATTGCATGCCGGTCTTGTATACCTTCATCCCGCCAATCGTTGTCATCGCCTTTGCAGCTGTCATCTTCATCTGTTGCTCTCGTCCTCACCATCACCATGAGCATGATGGCCACCCGTATTCTTTGTAACCTACGAATTAAGCCTAAAGCGTCAATCCTAAGCCTAAACCAAATCCCAAAGCCTCGCGCGAACCCTAAGCCCGAACCCCGAACCCTCCCCTAAACCCTAGGCCCTAAGCCCAAAACCCTAGACCTTAAACCCTAAATCCCAGACCCCATAAACCCTGGACCCTAAACCCGAGACCCTGAACGCTAAACCCTAGACCCTAAACCGCATATGCACTTACATATGTACAGCAGCTCTTAGAGTCACTTATAGAGCGTCCCCCCATCTCCCTAAAAGGAATCCTATTGACCCTAAACCCTGAACCCCAAGCCCGAACCCACACCCATAGAGGCCGACACCGCGACAGTCACGGTTTCCTGGGCCGCCGGACTCGAGGAGTGCCTTATTAGAAACCCCCGCCCCCGCCCCGCCCCCGAGCTTACTAATGACTAGGGCTTAGGGTTTAAGGGTTTAGGATATAATCCACCTATGAATTCTCTTTGTTCGTATAATATAAAGCAAAACGAGTTCATCCAATGTAAAGCACAAGAGAATGTTAAACATGGTGTTTGTATTATGGTTCTGAGGGTGCCTGTTCTACTTCATGTGAGACCATCCGAAACCCCAATTCCCAAACTCTATGTATAGTAGAATAATTCTACTACATATGAAACGATCTATTTTCTCGATCCTCCCTGGGATCTGGGTAGGAGAGATTGGGGGGCTCCGAGTTCTGGTATTTAGATATAGACTTTGGGGCACATGGGGATTCAGAGGTTGTGAGTTTAAGTAAAGCCGTATCTATGACGCTTAGAGGTTCGGGGTCGAAAATTGAGGGCGTTGCAGGTCAAGAGTTGTAGGGTTTAGGGGTTTAGGGTTTAGGGTCTGGGTCACCGTCGGTGTCTCATGTTTGCGGTGCACGACTAATGCGTGATGTACGGGTCGGAGAATCGCCAAGGCTATTCCTTACAGTCACTTCTTAAAGTTGAACTATAAGGAACTACCAAAACCCTATTCTAATTATTAAGTTTCTACTGCTCCTTTTTTCGAGTAGCCGCTGGTTGAGAAGCCAGTCGCAGCTACGTATGATTAGGGGACCCTGAAAGCGGCATAAGCATAAACAATTTACCGTGATTTCCGGTTCGGGTTAACGGTTGATATCCCTACCTTTTTGGGCATCAGTACGAGGAAGTTTATATCGGACATGGTTGTCGCAATTCATGTGGTTGAATGCATGGCTTCCGTTCTCCCCAAAATCCTGAACCGCGAAAGCCGCTGAACTCCTTTTCCCACTCCAAACCCCCAGGCCCAGACACTTAGAGCTCAAGCCCAAAACCCCTGGCCCATAAACCCTCAAACGATTAGCCGCCGAAGACCAAGTAAACCTCGGTCTGTACCATGTTTCGAGCGCAGGATCGAGAACCGATACTTAAACAGATGCTGGACATCTTAGGCGAGGACAGTTGAGGGAATATGCGCTGTAGGGGCTAAGGATGTATGGTGGAAGCCGGAAAGTTGGAACATGTCCACAGAAGCAAATTGACCCCAAGCCACAGGTTCCAACTTTGATCTCGGAGGCTAAAGTTGGAACACGGTCAGAAACCCGCCAAAGGGAAAGTTGGAACCTGTATTGCAGAGAGAGAAGAACTGCAATTACTACGACCGCTCCAGTATTGCAGAGAAAGAGAAACTACAATTGCTACGACCACTCCATTATTGCAAAGAGAAGCTAACTGCAATTACCACGACCGTTCCAGTGTTGCAGAAAGAGAGACACTGCAATTACTACAACCGCTCCAGCATTACGGAGAAAGAAACTGTAATTATTGCGACCCTCCCAGCATGGCAGAGAGGGAAATTGCAATTAATTATTACGACCGCTCCAGTATTGCAGAGAGATACGTGTACGGGGACCCCACGACAATATCGCTAGTCAGTGGTGACCCCATGGATCGCCGAAGAACTGAATCGCACACTCGCGCACTCACGCCTCCCCATGCTTCTGTATATAGGCGTATTTGTGTTGGCTCAAACCCTCCATCCCAACCCGCCCCCCGCCCCCCGGTTCATAGGGTTGCGGATTCCCCTAATCAGGGGAAGGTGGGCTTAGGGTTTAGGTTTAGGTTAGGTTGTTTCCCGCCACAGGGTGCCCCCCCCACCCACAAGCATAATGATGTCCATATCATCCATGGCCCAACCCTGATGACATCCACACTGGGTTTTCCGGCCGGTCCAGTCAGAATGTTCCAACTTTGGAACATAATTGCCAAATTTGGAACTTGCACGCGCTCGCTCATGGAGTGCTGAATGTCAGGGTGCGTATGTTTCAACTTTTTGGCATCCACTGTATTTAGGCATGGTTTGGCTTTCCAACTGAGGGTCTTGGATTCTGGCTTGGGGTAGGAACTGGCGGCCGAAGCAATTAAGTGTTCGGCGAAGCCAGAAACAAGGCGCTCTTCTTACAATTCCTTGAGCTGACTCTACTAGAGAGCCAGCCCCCAACGACCCTAAAGGCACTTCTTGACGGCACCTGCGTTTCCCTTTATGTCAAGGCGAACTAACTTCTTGTTTCATGCTGTGAGTGTATGTCAGCTGCAGCACGTATGTTATGTTGAGTTGTATATTGGATCTACAAGCTCGACAGCCTGAATTCAGTCGGGACGTCTCCATGTTCTTTGACATGTACACTTCGACACATCAGCGCCATGACAGTTGTAGCTGCCTGCAACATCGAGAGCCCGTGTGCTTTGACTGACTTGTTGTTCAGTTGTGCTCTCGTGATTCTAGTGCTGTAAACCGTAGCCATGATGCCGAGGCACGACAGCATGTCCAGAGGGAGCTGTCATAGCATGCAGCATCTTCGGGACAACTGTTCTACCATCTGCAATTTAGATGTCTTTCCCGTGCGTGGCTGTCGAACAGCAACTTCACAAAGGGCACCTAACTCAAACCCTTCGTCCAAAGCAGAGGATGCTTGAAGCCCTGAAAACAGCAAATTTAACCACACCCATGCAAACCCCCAACTTTACACAGTCCACTGCGACTTTTCGAATCGAAAAGCAAAGATCCAACAAACCCTGTAATTAAATGCCATGAAGCAGCCCGAAGTCAAAACTGGAACAACCGATCACCCATTGCTTGCAGGCTAGCTTGGAAGCTGCCTAGCTCAGTACTTGGGCGCCTGCTGTGGCTCCTCTGCGCCCTGAGAAGAAGACCTCAGACTGAATTCAGGGGCTCAGCATTCTTGACGTTGTCATAGGTTAAAAAGGTTCCTATTTCAGGGCTCCTCAAATGGATCTTTGGGGGTCTAGGGTTACCATAACTTTGTCATAGCTGAGTAACATTTGCGGTTTTCATGAATACTTAAACATAATAAGGAATAGGATATTCAAGTTTTGATACTATCCTAACCATGAATTAGTTCATAGTTGGGCCGTAAGTACCTTCACTAGGGATATAAGGCCTTGCAGCCGATAGATGCCATACGTGTTACCCTCCTTGTTTGAGGGCTGGTTTGGGGATGCCCTTCAGGTTTTTTTTGTGTAGTCCCGCCAAGTTGAACTGTTAGGGTCGGCAGGGAACCGTGTTTCTGGGCAGTTTACGATGGCAGATTTACCGTGGAGCGCTGGAGCTTTAGCTGCCAAGCAAGGGGACCAAGTTTCTCCTCTGTTTCTGATACGAGATGCTTGTGTGGTGATTGTGGAACTCTCCATTACCATAATGATCAGCCTGCTTTTGTGACTGTTTTTGTTTTCTGCCATTATTCATCGTTCTTGTGTTCATGCTTACCGCACTGATAAATCATGCAGGTCCCTTATAGAGCCCTTTAAGGAACCCTTGAGTTATTACGGCCCCTTCAGTATTGAATTTGGCTGTCGTTGTTGCGCTTCGCCTTAGAGGTTTGCTGTCACGGTGGAAGTCTTCGGCCAGGCAATCGGGCGCTGCTCAAAGGGTTGAGAGTGCAGGGTCAGGGGTTTACCCTAAACCCTTTAGAATTAAGCCCCTAAACCCAAAACCCTTAAACCCTTTAGCCCTAAACCCAAACCCTTAGCCGCTACACCCCTAAAACCCCTAAAACCCTATAGCCCTAAACCCTAAAAGCGGAGAAGTTGCGGAGTTCAAGGGCTTTAACGGCCCAGGGCTTTAAGGTTACGTTCAGTCCCTTGGGCCGCTGGTTTGATAATGCAGAGAAGCAGATACACAGACAAGCTGGAGGTTTAGGGTTTAGGATTTAGGGTTTAGGGTTTAGGGGAGAAGCAGAAAGAAAACCTGCATGTGCATGCTGGCTTTCGGACGTCGCTTTGTTTCGCGAGGACAGATAGGTCGTCCGTGTGTTCTGATGCGCACGTGGGTGGGGTACCCTAAATATTGGGTGCCGTATTATAATAAGGACCCAAAAAGGTACCCTAATTTTGACAACTACCCACGTACTGCTTGCAAGTTTCCGGGGCAAGGGCCGGAGCCCTGAACCTTCGAAAAGTTTCAACTCTAAACGCTATGCCTCAAATTCTATGCTCCATGCCCTGAATCCCAAACCCGAAGAGCCCTTGAGTCCACCCTAGAACACCCGAGAGTAAGTTTCTTAGCAAGAGCCCTCTAATTCAGGCCTCTGCATGCACCCTTAGCCTATTTGGGTTCCTAAAGGGGGGATCTCTTATCGGGGTTCTTTCATTGCAATGCAGGGTCTTTGGGCCTGCTATCGAGACTTCCGAAGCTTCGATTCGGGCTGGTACGGTTCAAGCTGGGGTGTTGGCAAGTGCAAAGTATGTGCGTGTATGTCTATGTCTATATTATATGTGTATATATTTTTTTTATGTAGATGTACGTACATATATACATATATACACATAACTATGTATTCATCTAAACATAGATGCAATTCTGCAAGTAAACCCCCCACTTCAGCCAGGATCGATGGTCAGCGGCGCAGGAAGGTCACAGGAAGGTCTTGCAGGTTGGGCCCTTGGTCTTTAGAGGGTTAACCAAGATGGGGGCGTTGATAATGAGAATAGGTATGTTGGTCTTATTTTTGGCGGTACATTCTATTCTAGTAAAACAGAAGGAGCGCTGCAGGATAGTATCGGTAATTAAGAAATCTCATTCTCCTAAGGAGCCCGAAGGACAAGTATGGGCGATTAGTCAGGCAATATCCCTGGACACTCCTTTACCCTCTGTTAGACCCTAAATACCTACTATTAGGGGCCATATACCCCTATTTGAGGGTGCAAGGAGAGGGTCCTGGTCAGTCGTTTTGTGGCATGGAGCTTCTTGCAGCTTCAACCGGCCGTTTGGAAGTTTCGGGCTCAGGCTTCGAGAGTTCCGGGTTTAAGGCACGGAGCCCTTAACCCTAAACCCTTATGTTTACGGTTTATGTAGGCTTTTCGGGTTCTTGGCTGTGGGGCTTGAATTTAGACGCTTCTCCGGATGTTGGGGTCGAGGGCTGCGGATATCGTCTTCGGCAAATGAACAAGGGGAATTCCCAGACCCTAAACCCTGAAGACCCGCAAATGCAACAGTTGTAAGAGTCCAAGCGCGCCAACAGTAGGGCCTCGGGTCTGAAGTACTACACTCTGAATGGGCAGTTCTCTAATATTAGGGTCCCTTTGTGGTTTAGGGCTTAGGGGGTTCGGGTTTCAGGGCCGGGTCCCCAATATAGTAAGGCACCCTTGTAAAAAGGACCCTGAAAGGGACCCTAACTTGAACAACTACCCAGTAAGTGTCCGGGTGCGCAGCATTTCAAGGTTCGGGACCTGGAGCTGCAACGACAAGCAATCCAATATAGAGGCCTCAATAATTACCAGTACTATTTTTTTGGGGGGTCCCTTTTCCATTATTCTTGTATAATGGGCCCTAAAACCCTAATCTAATTGCTAAGGCCCCTATATCGTTCAAGCAGAAACACGTTGCGGCCTGAAAGCAGGAACTAGACAGGCTCAATTAATTACCGCTGGTACTCCCCACGGTTCCTCATTTTAAGTATACTGTAATGTGCCCCAAAATACCCTATTCCAATTAATTATTAGAAAGCGCATGTTTGATCAACATAGCACCCTCTCTTCACGAGCATTGATATCAGGATCCGTATTTTCATCCATAGTAGTGGAGGGTGGCATCCGTGTTTGCAATTCGCATGAACCCCACGGTACCAGCTATGGTAAACCCTAAACCCCAAAACCCCTAAACCCTTAATCCTTTAAACCTTTACACCCTAAACCCTAAAACCCCTAAACCCTTAAGCCCTGTAAACCTTTGCGCCCTAAACCCTAAAACCCCTAAACCCTTAAGCCCTGTACACCTTGCACCCTAAACCCTACGGTGGATGATATGAATCTTGCATTGCCTTAGGGACCCTAAACTATGGGAATTATGGTATATTCTTTACTATGGGTCATGCAGGATTTATATCATCAACCGTAGTACCCTTAATAGTAAGATCCTTCTTATAAGGACCCCAAACTAAGGTACCCCTAACTTTCGGAAACTCCCATAGCACCCCTTCTAACCCTATCCCCACCCCTAGACCCTAAACCCTAAACCCCTTGCACCCTAAACCCTATCCCCACAGATTGTCAAGGTGGGAGCAGGAGACGGACCGCGATGATCTCTCCCAGCCAGGGCCTCGGATCTCGCCCTTCTTCGGAGGGGGCCAAAAGGGGTTCCCTTTAAAGGGTTCCTATAAGGATTACTATAAGGGTACTATAAGGGATCTATAAGGTACTGTAAGGGGTTCTATAATGTAGGAGGCCAAAAGGGGTTTTGGCCTATGGCAGTTTAGTCGGGATTACGGTTCCCATAAAGGGGTTCATAGTGGGGAATCCCTACCCCAAGAATCTTAAAAGCCCCCTTTTTGGCCTCCCGTCCTTCTTCGGAGGGGTGTGCACAAAATGAGCCATGTACCCATACGTGTGTGCATAAACATACGCGGATACCCTATCCTGGCCCATATTTTTAAAAGTATACATACATACATACATATACATCTTCTTCCGGACGCAGCGAAGGGATCCGCCTAGCGAGTCTGTAGCACAGCCACGATTGGGCTGCGGCACCTCGTGGGTGCTTGAACTACGGCACCACATCAGGCCTTTATGGCCGTCAATGTTGATTCCATCTCATCCACTTTCTGTTGCCAAAGTCGTAGTAGCTGGACCTGAGTTCACGCGAGTGGCCCAGATAAGATAGGCATTGCATTCCATTGCAGAAAGATCTGAAGCTGTGCACTCCTGCGCTGCATGGCCATCTTCTGTGATCCACTTGCATCTTTTTCCATTCCAGATACTGCGATAATGCCCCGAGTCAGCTTGGAGGCCATAATGCACCACCGTCGGTGCTCAACAAACCAGGGGTAGGACTGTGGCAAGTCCTCCAGGTCTTTGTTTCGGCGACATGATGCAATAGAGGGGCCTGTATAATTAGAATAGGGTATTGAGGTCCATTCTACCATAACTATCGTAATACAGGAACCCCTAAAAGAGTATTGGTAGTCATTAAGGCCCCCATATTCTAGAACCCTACTATGGATCCCTTTTAGAGCCCTTTAAGGAAGCCTTAAAAGGGAACCCTATTCAAATTATTTAGGCCCCTATAGTACATGGGAGATCAGCGGGGCAAGCTGAGCATGAAGCGGAACGGTGCCGGCAGCCCGCGGGATTGTCTCTCACCCCGACCTGGAGCCGTAAAGCGGGAAGCCAGCAACTATCGCTCCAGGTGTACACACAGAGAACCTCGGACGCGGCGACAACGGGGCAGCCTCCAGCCATGATCTTGAAAGAAGCAGCCGAGACTGGCGACGTGGCGGCCCTCGCCGCGCACCAAAAGGCCCAGATGTCTGTGGCAATGTTTTTGTTGCCGTGCTAAGCTTGGAGGTTCATGGGTAGTTATAAGTGGGCTTATAAGTCCCTTAATATGGGTTATGAGTATAGTTACCCTACTTATAACCCCACTTATGACTACCCATGAACCTCCAAGAGCACAGGGGTGATTTCTTGGGTTTGGGGATGCGTCTGGAGTTTGCCGAGGCCGGGGCCGATTTGGGCGCCACACTGGACGAGAACGGATGGACAACGGCGCACTTTGCCGCAGACAAAGGCCACGCCGAGGCTCTGAAATTCCTCCACGAGGCTCTTTCTCTTTGTGCTTCCTCTGTAAAGAGTGGGAAAGGGCCTGCCGGTCGGGCTCGGGCCGCGCCGTCGTCCCCTGTGAGGTTGGCGTCAACCTCACTGCGACGACCAACGAATGGAAAGCGAAGACGCCGGCCAGATTGGCAGCCCTAGGAGGGCACGTGAAGGCGCTGGAGGCACTGCGCCAGGCCAGCTAGGGCGAAGTCCTCGACTGAGAAGTTGCACATCCAACACAGACCCTGAAAAATTGCACATTATATTTCTTGAAGCTCCACTCTTGAAACGTATGCTAGAGGTACATCCCAAAAACTCTTCTGTACTCATTCAGGCCTCTACATACTCGAGCCGGTGCCGAGTTGAGGTTGGGGTTTTCGAGAATTTTGATGCGAAGCTGAGCAGTGGCAATTGGACCGCAGCGCACTACGCCGCGATGTCTGGCCAAGCGGCAGAGCTCGAGTTTTTGCAGGAGGTGCAGAAGAGAGCCCGGTAGGGATTAGATTCGGGATTTTCGGGGTTTAGGGCGAACCCCCTGGGGCGTCGTCGAGAATTTCCAAATCTGAGCGAGGCCGGCGCCGACCTGCAAGCCTCAAACTGGCAAGGATGCACCCCGCTGCACTTGGCTGCATACTTTGGCAAGGTGGAGGCGCTGCGCGTTCTGATCGAGGTGGGGGGGGGTCTTCTTGATGTCCCCAAAAGCCCCTGCCCATGTCTGTGCCGATGTCGCCCCTGCTTAGGCCGGCGTCAACCGAAATCCTCTTGACGAGGCCGGAAACACGCCAACCGATGATGCCGCCCGAAAGGGCCATCTCGAAGCATTCAAGCTGCTCCTCCAGGCCAGGAGGGGTTGGGACATGGCGGGGATTCGAAACCTTCCACTTCAAGTCGCTAGGGGCGCTGCCACTCCCTGCGTCCCAGGCCGGAGAAACTCGTGAGGCCGAGATCCTGCCGTGGTTGTAGCTCGGCGTGGATGTGTTCAAAAACCACAGCTTATGTGAGCAGCCCCTCAGCAAGGGCTCAGAGAAAAGGCGGCAGCATGGAGCGTTAGGGAGTCGATATCGCTCAAGCCTTTAAGTAGGGCTCCCTAAACCCTAAACCCTTTGCTGAGATAGCTTCAAAGCCTTTTCCAGACGAGCCAATGCCAACCAGAGAACGCGATTGTCAGCTTCAGGCCGAGGTTTTAGAACCCTAAACCCCTTAACCCTAAGCCTTAAAAACCGGTAAACCCTAAACCCCTCAAGCCTCAACCCTAAACCTTAAAGACCCTAAACCCCGCAAAGCCTCAAAGCCTGAGGGAACCCTGAATTCCTCAAACCCTCAAACACTGGAGAAGCCCTTAAAATCTGAATCCCTAAACCCCTTAAGCCTCAACCCTAAGCCTTAAAAGCCCTCAACCCCTCAACCCCTCAACCCCTAAGCCTTAAAAGCCCTAAACCCCTCACAGAGCTTTGAGTTCACAGACTTCGGGAGTCAGACCCGAGGTTCCTAAACCGCAGGCCATAGGGAGCCCTTTATAATCAGAAAAACTAAGACTAAGAATCATAATGACAACAGTAATAATTAACAGTAATAATACGAATAACAATAATCATCATCATAGCACTAGTGATAAGAATAGAAATAGTAGCAACAATAATGGAATCTGATCGGGATTTGCGTTCAGACTCCTATTCAAACCTTGTAGCCCCCCAAACCCTACCCCCGTAAACCCTCAATCCTCATTATGATTACGACTACTCTTTTCTTGCTCTGACTACTCATGAACCCACCCCCCCCCCCCACAACTTACCTTTGGTTAGTAGGGAATGGAGGAATGGGGTACAATTATAGCTACTATTACTACCATTCTTCGATTCCCTACTAGCCAAAGGCAAGACAATGAGGCGAGGTGCGCGGAGGAGTGTTCGAGGCTGGGAAAGGCGTGGTCGCGCTTCGAAGTTCTAGTATCTCTTTAGAGCTGTTTGGGAGTTTCGGGTGTCTTGGGATTTAAAGATTTTGTAGTGAGTTCCTTATTATAGGAGTAGGCTATTATATAATGTACACCAAAACCCTATCATAATGATTAAGGCTTCTATATTATGGGCTTCTTAGGGTTGGTGGATTTCGGTGCTTCTTGGGGTCCAAGGTTGCCAGGGGTTTGGGATTTAGGGGCTGTTGACTGTTTTTGGGGTTGCCGTTGAACAAGATCAACGATTGGAGCAAGGTCATAAGATAGGGGACTAGAATAGGGCCATCATACTATAAACATAATAAGGAACCCCCCAAATGCGTATAGGTAATTATTTCGGCCCCTATAAGGTTTAGGTCCTCCCGGGACCGAAGGTGTTCTCAGGATTTACCGGTCCGCGGAGTTGATAATTTGTGGCTCGGTTCTTTGCCGTATCGGATGCAAATGATAGCAGGGCTATGTGAATCCAAAGTCCCGATTCCGACAGAGCTCCCTGCAATAACTTGCATGTCATCTCGACTGTTTCGCGGCGCATCGCAGAGGTGAGCTCGGATTGATTGGCAGTATGGAACCTTCCCACTGGGCTCCAGAAGTGAATGAGGTTGCTGTGACGTCCCCGTTCATCTACTTCAAAGTCTTCGCGATCACCGTTCTCACTTCCGCACCGTTGTTGACATTTGTAGGCCAGGGCTTAAGCAGCTCGAACTTGGAGGCCTGCACCGAGGCATGTGTTTTCATCCGCTACGCCGGCACGCCTGGGCTACCTGCGACGACTTTTCAGAATCTTGGAATCAGGGTAGACGTAGACAGCTTCTGCCAGTTTCCACTTTTCGTTTCCATAACCAACGGCCAAGCTCTCCAAGTGAAACCCGCACCGGATTTGTCTCTGAAGGGTGTGCTTGGAAGTCCAAGCCGGATCTTCCTTTATCCACCGCTGCTGTATTCTTGCACAGCGAACTGGTTGAGCAATTCCAGCGGGCAGGCCTTTCCAAACGCCTCAAAGGTGACAGCAGAGCACTGCGAGCGTCGAAGCACCGCCCAGCGCATCCGGAATCACCTCGCAGATGGCCTCACGCGCTGGGTATATCTGACAGGTATCATCATGTGGACATCGCTGAAAGTCCTCCATGACTGGGCCTTGCTCGGTGGTATGCCAGAAAGGCTGTCACTTTCTCTCGGAATCGGCTCTTGGGTGTTTCAAGCAGTTGCTTGCTTCGCTGCGTTTGTTTGGAGTACGGCTGCAGTGGAAGTCTTTGCAGAAGAATCTGGGTGCTACTACCAGCTGGCTCTTTGGGAGACGGTGTTTTTCCTGGCCACTCCCCTTCTCCTCCTTTTGGCCACGATGTCCAAGTTCGAACAGATTAGGCTCTCAAACGTCCACGGCGACTATTTGTACGCCATCACCTACGATGTTCCTTTCAGGGTGGTGAAGGCCACCCTTCCCTGGGATCCCACACAAAATCTCTTGACAGTCGGGTTGCGTGGTGATCCAGACATGACACCCTGCTCCTACCAAAACTTGGCATGGGTGGATGCTGCTTTCTTCGAGACGCAACTGTGGTGGATCGGAAATCTCTGGCGCACTGCCATCGCAATGGGGATTGGTCCCTTTGCAGCCGGTCCTTTGTTTCGCCGCCTTGTCGGCACGGTGCAGACTGGACAGTGGGCTTTCGGTGTTTCCGTTGCGCTACATCTTGTCATCGCTGCAGCACTTTGCAGTGGCATCGCCATGAGTCTACACATGGCGATCTTCCAAACATGGTTCTTCGGCAGGCGAGTTCGTGCTTCGCTGCTCTCGACGACGGACCAAAACATGTTCACTTGTGTCTTACATGTGTTCAAAGTGCTCATTTGGTGCTACCTCCTGCTGTTTTGCGCAGTCGGCTTTGTCTCGGCTATCGGCTTGTTGCTGCAGAACGAAAGTGGACAAGGCGGAGATGCGCTGAAGGCAAGTTGGACGTGGTATATGTGTGGGACCAACTGGTGGTTTCTGGCATGGTTCTGTCTCACGCACAGTGTCAACGCAGCTTGCCGGTTGAACGTGCCACAGATGCGCTGCTATTTGTTTCGGCCAGGACGCATGCCTCTGCAGCAAATTAAGGATTTCAGCGACAACCATCCAGAATTTCAATTGCAGGATCATCTTGCATTTTACGAAACACTGGAACAACAGGACAAAGACGGGGATCAATTCCTGCACCAGCTGCGGACTCAGATTTCTGACTGGAGCCAAAGTCGTTTCCATGCAAAAGATGCCACGGAGCTGTTCATTCGAGCTCGTGAAGAAACAGCAGAAAGCTCTGCTGATGGTCAACCCGACTCGATGAAACAGCCGTGGTCGCTCCTCCGGATTGCTGCCGATTCCTGCAGTGACACGGACCCTTGCAGCTCAGATTCAGACAGATCTGAATCTCGATGTTTCCTGCAGCCAGGCCCTTGAAAAAGCCGTTCAATGGACTCTGTCGCCGCTTCAGTGGTAAAGGTCGGGAGCATGTGCTTCACGTGGGTCTGTCATACTTACAAAGAAGTTACATGTCCTGACAACCACTACATAACTACATGGAAGCATACACCCCGAACATTTCCGTGATTCTACATAGTCACTCAGGTCCCTGTATCCACCCTCGCCCCCTTTTTTATCCAGTGTAGTTCTAGAGATCCCATGTCCACCTCGCTGTTTTGGGATGCGGTGTTTGTGTTCTTTGGTGGTCCTGGTTTTTTCACAGTGATCTCAGCGATCTCCAAAAAACAGCAGATTCTTGCTTACCTTCTGAGAGGAATTCACATGGAAGCCTAAACCGCCAACGCCTGAGCCCTTGAACCCTAGCTACTACGACCACTACCACTACTACTACTGCTACTACTACTACTATTACTACTACTACTACTACTACTACTACTACTACTACTACTACTACTACTACTGCTGCTACTGCTACTGCTACTCCTACTGCTACTGCTACTGCTACTGCTGCTGCTACTCCTACTACTACTACTACTACGACGACGACGACGACGACGACACACAAAGCGCCCCGAAGCCTCGGCAGGAAGGCAACGAACGGAGCGCTGGCATCCTCTGCCCTTGGCGCTGGGAACGGCAGAATGCCTCGGGCAGAGTCAAAAAAGGCTTGTGAATACTTGGTGGGAGAGGGGGTTGAGACGAGTTTATGCAGGGTCCAGGGTCTTCGGTCCAGGCGTCAGCCATATATATATATATATATATATCTACGCACATATGCACATACATAAAGACATTTTATATGTCGTTCTTGAAGGGATGAAGTTAATGAGGCCCTAAGCCCTCAACAAAGCCTACAGCCCGAAGTCAGTTTGCCCGAGTGGTTAAGGGGGTGGACTTAAGATCCACTGCACGCAAGTGCGCATGGGCTCGAATCCCATAGCTGACATGCGTTGTTTGTTTCGGTAGTTTTGGGCTTTAAGGTCTGGGATGTAGGGGTTTTGGTGCCTCAGCGGTCGGTTCCGAGATTTTGTTGGGTCTGCAGTCGCCCAGAAGACTGGCGATTTCAGGCTTGGGGGTTTAGGTTTGGGTGTCGTCCCTAAACCTTAGATCCCTAAACCGTGGCTTAGGGTTCAAGGTTTTGGGTTAGGGTCTCGGCTTTCTTGGGTGGTTGGGTTAGGGGTTTGGCTCTCGAGATTGGAGTTTTGGAGTCCGAGCGGAGTGCTCGAGGGAGCCGCGTTCTTGATGTAGCCTGAACCCAATGCTGTAGCCTTGACTCCCTACATCCTCAATTAATCACCAATACCTACCCTAAGATAGTGCCCTAAATAGTAGGATCCTTATTATAAGGACCCCCAAATAAGGTACCCTAATTCAAATCACACCCTATCCCAATCATTCTGGTCTTGAGGTTCGACTCGGGGCCGCCGATGACCCGCTGCCATAGGGCACAAAGAATCTTCACTGACACTCGCTGGACCCTTAAATCCCGAAACCCGGGCCTTGCACCCCCTTCCCCGTATTGGGAGAACTTTACTCCTTCTACTACGGCCACAAGTATTGACACTAGTACTATCTGCTGGTCCTCACTGCTAAACCCCGATACCCCCTCAACCCTAAACCCCGAATCCATTAACCCTTGAACCCTTAAGCCCTAAACCCCGCAACCCCTAAGAACCCCAAGAACCCGTTAAACCCTAAACCCCCAAACCCCTAGGAACCCTAAACCCCTAAGAACCCTAAACCCCTTAACCCTAAACCCACAAGAGCCCTTATAGAACCCTCAGCCCCCCTTAAACCCCAAATCCCCTTAACCCTTGAACCCTTAAGCCCTGAACCCCCAAAGAACCCCAAGAACCCCTTAAACCCTACGACTCCGGCTTCTTGCCTCCACTCGCCTCGGCCCTGTCTTGGGTGCTCCTATGCTCAGGCCAGTTCTGGGGCTTCGGGGCCCCTGCTTGGGGGTTCTTTTTTAGGGTCTTGGGGGTTCAGGGCTTGGTGGTTCTATTTTGGGGTCTTTAGGGTTTAGGGCTTGGGCCCCCATTTTGGGTTGTTTTAGCTTGTTTTAGGGTTTAGGGCCGTTGAGGGATTTAGGGTTCAGGGTTTTTAGGGCTCATAGGTTTTGGTCTTTAGGGTTCAGGGCTTGGGCCCCCATTTTTGGGTTTTTAGGGTTTAGGGCTTGGGCCTCCATTTTGGTGTCTTTAGGGTCGTAGGCCGTTTATGGGATTAGGGGTTTAGGTTTCAGGGGTTTAGGGCTCAATCTGATGGGTGGAGGGTTCTGTTTCCTTTGGGGGGCTGACCTCTCCACCCTGCCAGGTGCCATGGCAGGCACCTGCTTAGATCAAGTGTAGTCTTTGGGCTTCCGGGTTTTAGCTAGTGACTTGCACATGGGGGCCCTACAGGAATCCGATACTGTTTGCTGGTTCTGACTGCATGCAGTTGGGGCGTTTGCAATGCACATGCACAGGTGAAAGTCTCAAGTACTACCTGGTTCCATTATTGGCAATGCTGTAGGAACATTGAGCAACCCTCAACCGTTACAGTTACAATAGCCTTTATAGTAGCTCATATAGTAGCCAGCCGTGTAAGATTATAGTAACTAGCACCGCAGCTACGATGGTAACCTTTACAGTTGCTAGTCCTTTGAAGTTGCACATTGAGCATTGCCGTCTCGAGACTGAAAAAACTTAACTTTCGGATTTTGCTGGTGCCACTTCTGCTCGTCCTCCTGCTACAGCTGATGCCTGATGATGATGATGATGATGATGATCTCGTCCCGCGAAGCGTCTCGGCCCTAGCTTCGCAGCTCCAGGTGCACATCACTATCCCTGCTTTTCGGGACGTTGGTGCTCTGTGCGTAGCTCCCATGGTCCTCCTTGCTGCTGCTACTCGTGCGGCTGCTCTCCTGCTTTTGCTGGTTGTCGCTTTTACCATGGGACATACTGATCTGACGATGAACCGAAGGACTGCACCGAACGCGGGCCGCTGGGGTCCCAAGTCCCCAGGGGGCGACGACGCGGAAGATTCCTTGACGATGACAAGCGCCCCAGACGCGAGGGTTGCAGCGTCGACCGCAAGCGCTGCTGAAGCCACCCAACGAGCGCCTCCCCTTGTTACAGCAGAGGCGAAGCATAGCGGAGAGGCACTCGCGGCCCGACGCCGCCAGAACATTGTGAAGAGATCGTATCGGCGAGCGCTCAGACGTGCTCAAAAGGCCGAAGACGGCACGACATACTATCGAGGACGCCGGCTACATCTGCAACAGCTTGGAGCACCCATGGAGCTTGGGCCCCAAACACAGCAGACGACCAGGCAGAGTCAGCCACCGCCAGGCACCAGGTTACGGGTTTTCTCAATTAACTTGGGGGGCGTGTGCACCACCACTTACGATATTCTGATGACATGGATGCAGGAGCACAAGGCAACCTACGACATACTGCTTTTTCAAGAGGTGCACTATGGATTGGGGAAAGCACTCACCGAATACACTGTACCGAACTGGCACATTATCTCGAGCCCGGACCCCCACCACCGCTGGTCTGGCGTCACAGTATGTGTGTCCTCTAAGCTGGTTTCTCGTGATGACATCCAGTTTCAGGAGGTGGTCCCAGGCCGTATACTCCATGTTCGTCTGCCCATCGGTTGCAAGCGACAGAGTACTTCTTTAGAGATTGTGTCTGTATATCAGTGGGCTTGGGATGCGGACCCGGCCCAAAAGCGCGCACAGAAGCGCCACCTGATCTGGTCGAAGCTGAACCAGCTCCTTGGATCCTTCCCAAGCAGGCACTACAGGGTAGTCGCTGGGGATTTCAATTGTTCGCTTGAAAGCTCTGAGGGATGTGTAGGTCCTGGTATTTTGCGCAAAACCGGTGTGGGTTTTCCTGATGTTGAGGAGTTCAATCAGATGCTGACAGCACACCACCTGTGCGCACTGAACACTTGGGCAGCACAGAAGCAAGCCCCAACATATATCGATGGGAGCGCGCCACACAAAAGTAGCCAGATTGACTTTATCTTGGTAGGACAAGCCTCGGCAGACTCTTTTGCAAGGCGCAGCCGCACACTTCCCAAAGTACGCTTCTCGCCCTGGCGTAATGGAGGTCGTCACCTTGCCCTTACTGCAAACGTCAAGCTCCCGCGCTTTCTCCCCAGGCCGCGACTGACCGCAGAGCCTGGCCTCTGCCGGAGTTCGCTCCGAGAGGCCCTCAGGCAGGGCACGCCGGAAGCCGGACAGTTAGGCCTTCGCATTGCTGAAAGATTGCAACAGGCGGCACCAGCCACGGTGAGTGAGCTCACCACTGCTGTGCATGATTGCTGCGTAGAGCTCTTTCCAGCTAAGGGAGCAGTGCGCCCGCTAAGACCTTGGCAAGATCCTGCTACAAGCCTAGAAGTCAAGGACATGTGGAGACATTACCGGACCATGAAGCAGCACGGTATCCTCGCACGCAACAGGGTTCGTACTAGTCGCATGCTTCAGCTCCGTCATGTCTTTGAGGCCTTTAGATTGCATCAGCGCTTCCAGCAGAGCCAAAAGTTACTTAAGCGGCGCTGCCGCGAGCGCAGGAGAGCCTTGGTGGATGCAGTTTTGCAGGAAGCTGAGCAGGCTGCGCGCAAAGGGGATATGTTCCGCCTCTACCAATGTGTTAAACGGCTTGCGCCCAAATCCCCTAAAGAGCGTATCCAAATACGTGGCCCGGACAATGACATACTTAGCAGTCAAGGTGAGTACGAGGCTATTGTTGAGTACTTTGGTCGGATATTCTCACAGGGCCCCGATGTTGATGGTAGCACCCTCACCATAATGAAACCCTATAATGTCACCGACGATGAGATCCTTGACAGCCTTAGTAAACAGAAATCCGGCAAGGCGGTCCCGCCGGGATGCGTCCCACCAGAGGTCTGGAAAGCTTTTCGAGAGCTCTTGCTCCCCAGCCTGCGCAGCCTGTACTCACAGCATCTGCAACCTGGCGTGCTCTGTTTTCCAATGCATTGGCGTGACGGCTGGCTGTGCCTCATGCCAAAACCCAATAAGCCTACCAAAATCCCCTCTAGTCTACGACCCCTTGCGTTGCAGTGCCCCACTGGCAAATGCCTAGCCCGCATCATTAAGAATAGAGTCCTTGATGTCGTACTGCCGAAGCTAGAGGCTGTCCCGCAGTTCGCATACTTGCCGGGTCGCTCCACCCAAACTGCGATTGCCAGAGTCGCTCAGAGGTGTGACACAGCCAGACGCACACTGCAGAATTCCAGGCGAGAGGTGCACGATCGGCGTGCCGGCGCGCCCAAGCCCACAGCCGTGGGAGCTGCCATACTTTCCATAGACATGTCGAAGGCTTTTGACCAGGTAGATCATCAGTATATGGCTTCCGCGCTCCGATTCGTGGGTATAGACGAGGATACCATTGCCATTATCCTTGCGTTGCACCGCGCAGAGTATCATGTGCGCCACAAACAGCATGAGGGCACCATTGCCCTCAGAAATGGCATAAGACAGGGATGCGTGCTATCACCTCTGTTATGGGCATGTGTAACCGCATACATGCTGCATCGCGCCGAACTCCAGTCGGCCAACGCCTGGATAGCCGACGACGTCACTGCATATGCTGACGACTTTGCCAGCGCCTTTGATCTCAGTACGGTCGAAGATGCCCGGGTCATGACAAAACGCGTGCAGTCACTCTTTCAGGCGCTAGCAGAGGCGGGAATGCAAGTGAACGCTGACAAGTCGCATTTACTCTTGCGTGCCACTGGGGTTGCATTACAGCAATGGATGAAGAAGCATGAAACCTATATTAAGAATCGTAGGCACCTCAATCTGGGTACCCCCTTCCAACCCATCCTCATCCCCATAGTGGATAGTATTGAGTATCTTGGCACTGTCATGAGTTTCGGGCTTTATGAGGATCAGACAGTCCAGCTCCGACTCAAGGCGGCACGCACCACAGTAGCGCGGCTTCGAGGTCTCCTCTTCTCACGCAAGGGCCTGACGATGCAGCAAAGATTGCAGATGTATCGCACCTGTGTACGCAGTACATTACTCCATGGGGTACTGTCTACTGGCATCACTGCTGCCGGACTACGGACACTAGAAAAATTCGAGATTAAGCACATCCGGGCCATTGCGTGCTCGCCGAGCCACCTTTTCCGTGAGCGTAGTACAGACCTGCAAAAGCGCCTCCAGTATGAGCCGATTGCTGATGCCCTAGGTCGCATGTACCACTCGTGCCAACAACAGGCTGCTGCATTGCATTTTCCCTTCCCGGGGGATCGTATACTCGCGCAGAGGTCCAGACTTCTTCATGAGGCATATCAGGAAACCTTGCAGGCCCGCATGTATAGTACACTCACTCAGTGCGATAGTGCAGGGGTACCGTGTCCAGTTTGCGGGGTCTACTACTCTGATCAGCGCATAATGCGCATACACTGCGCCAAAAGCCATCACATCAGTCTTGTCAGCGCTGACCTACGCCGACCGGAGGCTAGAGCAGCCATTGATGTAGCTGCCCACAGCGTGGATGGAATGCCGGTCTGTAGACACTGCCGTGCTAGATTCCGAAAATGGCGTGGGTTTCAGAACCATATCCTCAGTGTTTGCCCCGTCTTACACTCCCCAAATACGGCTCATAACCGGGTCCCCCCTACCAATCAGTCGGTCGCTGCGCCCGCTGTGCAGTCCGCTGCGGGGCACAGCGCTCCTACTGTTGAGATCGAAACCAATACGCTCTGCCCATTCTTTCAAGACCCAGAAAGTCAGAAGAGCATTGATACCGACTGGGTTGCGTGTGCCGAAAAACACGGCGAGCGTTTGCGCCATTACTGCATTTTCTGCACACAATGGTGCAGCTATGATAGAGGAGGTGTTAAAACACACATGCGCCGTATGCATGCTGAACGCTGGGCCCTTCGCGACGCCGTCCTCAGGCGGCTCAAGAAGCATCATCGCCTCCGCTACCGGGGGCCCTGCAAAGCTTGCGCGTTCACTCCTGCCAGCAGTGCCCTGCATGCACCCAACTGTCCTGCCTACTTCCAGGCTTGCATGATGTTCCATATTCGCAACCCCGAGGTGACCCTTCATGACGGACTCAGCCGAGAAGGAGATCTCCGAGGTGTACGGCAACCTGCTGGGACTGCCGAATCAAGCGCGAGAGACTCGCGAAGCGCTGGACACCGACAGACCGCCCAAGTGGCACCGCCCGTCGCACAAGGGCTTTGGCGATGGGCGCGGAGGACGCCAAGGCAAGGAGCAGAGGTGGACACAGAAGGAGTGGGACTCGTGGGGCATGAGCAGCTCCCAGAACTCCTTGAGCCAGGCAGTCTCGGGGGACGAACTGAGGGAAGTGGTTGCACTTCTGACGCGACTAGCCTTGCGCCACGAGGACACAGAGGCAGCCCTGAGAACGGACTGCTCGTTCCTCCTGTACATGGACACACAGGGCATGGGGATGACGGCGCAGCTGTTCAAAATCTCCCAAGAATGGAAGGAGAAGAAAGAAGCAGTGCCGCCGCAAGTCAAGCAAAGCCTCAGGACTACCCTCCTCGTGTCGATCATGGTAGCAATGCGGCAGAAGATGGAGCAAGCGCTCACCCCGGAGATGAGGCCGACGCTTGTCAAGCACGGATGGATCACAGCGGTGGACCCTCCGTCCTGGGCCTACCTACGCTGGAACCCTACAACGGAGCGCCAGGAAGTGGACAACAGCCGCCCGCCATTGCCGCACTCGGAAGCCATGAACGCCCTCACCAAGATCAACGAGCTGGCAGGCCACGACGGGCTCCTGCACAAGTTCCACGCGACGCGAAAGATGGCAAGCGAGTATCGCTCACCGGTTCTGCCCTTCCTCATCATGGTCTCCACCGAGGCTCCGAAGCCCAAAGTCTGCATCAGTCTCTGATCCAGATCTGCGACAACTCCTGCCTTCGCCTGGTGGGCGCACGCTTGCGCCAGGAAAGGATGAAGAGGCAGCCGCTCGCGAACCTACTCTCGCAAGCAGCCTCCAATCTTCTGGATCACGCCAACCCGCAGATGAATGCCGCCGCCGATCAGAAGCCGCCGGAAGCGAGCAAGAGTTCGGACCCAGACGCGATGCGAACAGATACGGCGGACTTGTAGAGGCGCACTGGCCTAGGAAACCCCTAAACCTCTGCCTTGCCAACCCTAATAACCTGTGTTACCTTAATGCTTGTTTAGTGGCATGGCACTGGATTGCACAGGTCCTTCCAGACCAGCGTGCCGTCTTTGGGGCACTTACCTCGGCCTGCATTGCCCTTCACGCCAGCACCCCCCGAAAACCCCTCTGTGTACCAGGTCTGCTGCCGTGGATGCCGCATCTCCGGGCTTGGGCTGAGCTTTACAGGCAGAATGATGCATCCGAGTTCTGGTCCTACCTAATGCATCGCGCTGAGCCTGACGTGCTGGTAGGTACTTGGGAGGCTCGTAGAGCCAGCGAGTCAGGGGTGGAGGTACGCGACCAAGCGTACTTATGGCAGCCCATTGCCATGACGGTTGTTGGCCGAACCTTTCAAGACATTGTCCATGCCTGGCACGCCCAAACCCCGGTACATGCGCTCACAGCTTGCACCACCCTTGTTGTCGTCCAGCTTAGGCGTTTTAGCTTTGAGGGCGGACGTGCTCACAAAACACAGCACCCCATGCCCGTTCGCGAAGGTGACACATGTCGGCTGCCGATCTTCCAGAGCGGACGCTCCCTCAGTGTCCAGTGGTGTAACTACCGAGTCGCATTTGCCGTTGTGCACACGGGTGCCAGCCCCCGGGCAGGCCACTACCAGTGCGCCATGTGCGCTGAGCGGCAAATCTTTTTGTCAGATGATGGGGTGACCCCAGGTACATTACCCAAGCATAGGCAGCCTTGGTTATATGGTAACTGTTACCTGTTGGGGTTGCTCCGCCTAGTTCCTGATGTCTAGTTCCCGGGCATCCGCTGCGATTCGTCGCGGGATGCCCTTGTCACCGGGCCAACTAGGGCCCTTGAGCACGGGGTCATGGGGATCACGCCGACGAGCGCGCACAAATTTTGTGGCGCGCTTGCATCAGCTGCATGCCCGATCCATTGCTTATGTTACGACTCTTCACTTTGACATGTTAATGTACACAGCCCTTGGCTGAAGGACAGCACGACTTTGTCCCAGTTTGCCTGCACTTAGTGTCACGAACCCGCCTCGGTTTCCCCTGCCCTAATCCTCTTGCCACTACCCTGCCACCCAGCTGCCTTCACTGCTCACCGACCGCACGCCATGTCCACACCGACTGATGCTGACCCGATTGGGGACCGCATGTATGGAGCATCTACACCGGAGGTGCCGTCTTCAGCTGATGTCATTTCAAACTGGACTGAGTATGTGCATGGGGCGGAGCCCAGATACGCAGCTAGCCGAGAGGTGGTGGCCGAGGATCATGAAACGTTTCTTTTGAGTGCTCCCGTGTCGAATGATACGGTTGAGCAGCCTACGAATCCCATCGAGCAGTTTGCCTTTGATTGCCTTCGGCGACAAGTCGTTACATACGCAGACTTTGGTATCTTGCTCAACATGCTTGCTCAGGTGTTACCGCAGACCAAGCGCACCAGGGAGCGCATCAACATGGGAGTGACATCGTTCGCCTTCCAGACGGGTGCGTATGTTTTTGGTGGTGAGGCAGGCGCCATGACCAATGTGGGCACCTATCCTCTCCTCACACGCTTGCTCGCGGCTACAGTTAATGCCAGGTGCTCCGGGTTGCCCTTTTCCACTGTGACGCTCTGTTCCAACTTGCAGACGGGATTACACAAAGATTCGCACAACCATCCGATGCTCTCCAACATTCTCATCCCGATTACTCGCTGGGAGTTTGGAGGCGCCCTATGGATTGAGGACGACTCAGGTAACATCATGCATGAGGGCATGCGTGGCAGGACTCTGGATGTGACTCCGCCCTATGTGCTTTTCAATGCGCACCGTGCGCATTGTACGATGCCATGGGTGGGAAACCGATGTGTTCTCATCGCCTATCACATTCGCGATGGCTGGAGACTCTCGGATGATTGCTTACACCGGTTGCGAGCTATGGGATTCCCGATTTGGACAGGACATGTTACTGAAGACCCTTACATGTGACGATTTGTACAGCTCTTTGGCGCATAGGGGACAGTCGTGCACTTTTTCATTCAATTGCGTGATTTCGTTAGCTGACCTCCGGGTCGTGATCTGGTGACGCAGCACTACGGTGCGGTCACCCTTTTCATTTAGCTTGGATGTGCGAAAGCACAGCGCCCATGAGGCGCCGGGCCCTATCAAAGGCCTGTCCGATCGAGCCTCGCATGGCGTTACATGGACGAACGCTGCGAATCGAGAGAGATCTCGTCCCGCGCCATATTCCCCTTCAAACCATTCTAATAACGAGTACAACAACTGTTGCAAAAAGTAATCCTAACTTTCATAATGATAGTAATAACAGTAGTATTGAGAACAATAGTGATAGTAATAAAGACAATAATGATAATGGCTGTTTGGCGGCTCTTCTGCTCCCTCCTCCCGCATGCGGCTCAGGGCCCGGTGTTCGAGAGCAGCCCTTGCGCAAGGCCTCCACATGGCAAGCCATGCTATCGGGGCCTAAACAATGTGAATAGGGTTCCCTTCAAAGGGATCTATAAGGGATCTACAGTAGGCGTAGGCTTCTATAACATAGGGGCTTAAATAACTACCAATACTATTTGGGGGGCTTTTTACATTTATAATGTAATGGGCACCAAAATCCTACTCTAATTGTTAAGGCCCTATACTCCTTGGAGCTTCATGAGTCATTGTAAGTAAACCCATATTATGGGGACTTATAACCCCACTTATAACTGCCCATGAACCTCCAACTCGCTGCGAAGATAAGATCGAGTAACTGCCCTAAGCGTCATGATGATAGTAATGACACTGGAAGCTACAAGAAGAGCAATAGTACTAGCAATAATCACCATAATGATATAATCGTAACAATAGTAGTTCAGAATACCAAAATGATGACAACCGCTTTCATACGCGCTGCAACAGAAGGGCTAGGATAATAGTTGTTTTCATAGCTATCTCAAGTCTGAACAGGGCAAGGCGGGGGCAGTTGCTTGAAGGTGGTAGGGAGTTGACGGACCTGTCCTTCGTCGGTGTTCGAGGGCTTTCCTGGACTTTGAGTCGTTCTTTGAGGGTTTAGGGTTTTGCAAGGCTTAAGTGCCAACGTGCATCACCAGGTCTTTTACGGCATTGCCTTCAGGTCTTCCAAGATGGATGCCAGAAGACTCCAAAGACATTGGCGGGGCAAATAGCGGTTGCATCCTTGTCTCTTTATGAGAAAACGTCCGGAGCCCTGGAACTCTAAATACGAAGTTTTCCCCAATGCGTGCAGCAAGAATAGTATCAGCAATAAGAACTGCTGGCAACGGCGAGACAGAGTCAGCCTGTCGGCCGAAAAAATGCTCGGAAGTTTTTGCGTAAATCCTAGAATCCCTAAAGCCTAGAACTCCGCAGTCCGTAAGCCCTTTTTGGGCTTCGGGTTTACGGGTTCAGTCAGACAAACAAGGCTGAGATTTGTAGCAGGTTAGTGGGGTTTACCTTGAACTACAAACAACTTACTTGCTTGTAGGGCAACCTGAAATTCTGTACTAGGTTTTGCCACCAGAATCAGAACCTGCAAACATGTAGGTTATAGTAGTTGAAGGTAGAGGCTTGAAAAACTCGTATATAGGGCTCCTTAAGGAAGTTCTAGCATAGACGTACCGTTGGTTAGTGTTGTATCCCATGTCCTCCATGCCCTACTAACCAAAGGTAAGTAGAGAAGCCCCAAGTCCCATGTCTACTCGTCTGGGCACCTCGATCACGCCCTTGGTTTAGGGTTTGAGGTTTCGGGTTTAGGGTTTAGGGATTGAAACTGGTGTTCCACATGAATCAATCCAAGAAATACAACATCGTACAGTCCCCAAGAACTCCTGCGAGAGCAGCCCTAAACCCTGAACCCTGCAGCAGAGACCTTCTGCGGGAATAGAAAGAGGCCCGTTAAAAAAGATTGCAGCAAGAGTATAGCGGAGAGCAGCCCAGGAGTTCAAGACTTACCTAACCCGTGGACTAGCTGTCCATATTTGCATTTGTGCGCCTTTGGGTAGGGTCTGCAAGGGTCAAGGTAGGACTTATTGAGTTTCGGGTTTCCTGCTCGGCTTGCTTTGGAGTTTTTGGGTTTTGGGGCGGTGTTATGAGAGTTTCCAGAGTCTTAAAGCTGTAGGATCCTAGTTGAATCAGAATTGAGACTTTAGGAATTGGTTTTGAAGGCCTTATCGAATCTCCCCGCATCGCATCAGGGGGGTGCATCCCTAAACCCTCAACCCGTATCGGATCTCCCAAGATCGCCGGGGGTGGCGTGTTGTAAATGACGGCTGCCTTGAAGGACGTCTTTGTTCACTGTAGTTCGTTTTGCCAAGACGCTCTTCACATAACATTTTCCTACCTTGCAGTGTGTGACGACGCCTGGTGTGCCGGTCACGTACCAGGCGTCGTTACCACAATATAACGTGTTACTAGTATGTTATGGTATACTGCAGTACATTTGGTTGTCTTAGAGTGAACTTAAAGCCTCAACCCAAACCTTCAAAAGAACTGCGAGTTCGACTGGTGGTCAGAATCCTGCATCCGAATGAACCCGAGTACCCCGAACTCTGGGCGTTTGAATCTGTTTGGTATCCTTGGGCAAGGCTTGCTTTTCTTTACGAGCAATATTTCATTCACGACCCCCATATGGAGGGGATCCCACGTGCTACAACCCTTCCCTAAACCCTAAACCCCAAAAAGCTCTAAACCCTAAACCCTTCGCCCTAAGCCCAAACCCTTTGACTTCCCCCCTTCCCTTCGCCCTAAGCCCAAACTCTTTGTTGACCTCCCCCCCTTTGGCGAAAGACGTGGCATCTGCGGCACTTCGTAAGCGGCTCCGCCCAGAAAGGTTCCTCGGAGAGGTTGGGGTGTAATTTCGGGACCTCAATAGTTGCCAATGCTATTTTGAGTGCTCCTTATTATTATTAGTACAGTACCAAAACCCTATTCTAATGATTAAGGCCCCTATATTACGATGCAACAGACTTCAAGCAAGCTCTGTGTGGCCGTAGAGGTCCCCTATGATTTCAGGGATTTAAGGCTTCGGAGTTGGGGTGTAAGATGTACTGGAGGCTAGTAAGTATGCGAAAAGATTCAGGGATGAAGTGGTATACTTTGCATTGGAGAGGGATCACACCAAACTTCCTGGCATAAAAGGACAACTTGCTCCAGCATGTTCAAAAGCGCGCCTTGCGCTGGCCATGACCTGCGATCTTTAGCTACAGATCCGAAACCGGCGCTTCAGCACAACATGGCGTACACAAGTCCTTGCACCTAGACTGTAGGGCGTACCCAAACCCCAAACAGAGCCCGATGCCCAATAACGTCACACACACTTCCAGTCACTGGAAAGGGCCTACAAGACCGTCAAGATCTTCAAATTGCGATGCGTGAAAGAGCATAACGGCTATTTCAGGCACGATAGCAGCTCAAGGTGTGGAAGGCCGTGTCAGCATGACTTACGGGCCTGCTGCTCAACTAGTCCACCCCCCCTCTCGAAAATTGCAGCAAATACATGAGCTGCCAATCCGGAGCTACTGATGCTCAGGGATTTAGGCATCAGGAATGTTTGCTCCGAAGCCCTCGAACCAGCAAGATCATCATCATCATCATCATTGAAATTTTCCAAGATTCTCAGTATCATTGCTGACTGATGGTACTAGCATATTGCTATTGCTGCAGTGATTTGAGCCAAAAGGTTCCTTCACGAACCTCTGCTGCGACAGCTGCGTCTGGCGGCGGAAGCAGACCGGTCGGGAACCCCAAGGCACTCGTTCGTGATTTTCGGTGTAATATAGAAGTCGGAATAGGTCGCGAACAGTACCATTCTAGCCTTTACTATAATTTCAAGTATACCCAGAAACCTCATTCTTATCATTGAGGCCCCCTAAATTGCGGTGCTTGGCTGTTGCGACAGGGCTTCCCAGGCTTCGAGTGTTTGTCCACTTATTGAGAGAACCCCCGCCCGTTGCTCCTTAACTCTTCATCCCGAAGGTGGGAGCTTCCAAAAGCAAAAAGCAGGAGCTTTAATAATTAGAATGGGTTCCTTCGAAATATAGCTTTTCTATGATGGTTTAGTATAGGGGCCTTAATGATTAGAACAGGGTTTTGGGGGTTCCTTATTACATTTATAGTAGAATGGGCCGCAAAACCCGATTCTAATTGTTCAGGCCCTTATAATCGGGTTCAGGAGGGGGTGTCTATTTTGAGATTTGGTGCGTTTACATTCGGTCGCCTCTTCGGTGTGAGCTGTGGAAACCCATACTGCCTCAAAAGGCCTTCGAAGCTGCAGAAACCCATAGAATCGGGGGCCTCCAAAGGTAGGATGAAGGGAGATGGGATATTCCCAAATAAGAGTCCTTATATAAGGGACCTACCTTCATCCCACCTTGTGAGGCCTCCGATAGAATTTGAATCCTATGGCCGGATCTTCCAAAACCACCCTAAAACCCTAAACAGAAAGCAACCCAAATCTTGAAACCCCTAAACCCAAAGCCTTGAGCCCACATTAGCCCAAAAGTTGCACCTTGAGTGTGAAAAGTGGCCTGCCCGCGCCCGCGGTCCAAGAGCCGCCCAGAGTTCGAGTTTACACTTTAGGGGCGTTCGGTATGGATTTACTATAGGGGCCTAAATAATTGCCTAGATTTTTTGTGGGTTCCTTATTTATAGTTATGGTATAATGGGCCCCAAAACCCTACTCTAGCCATTAAGGCCCCTACATCATTTTAGGGTCGTGGGTTTAGGGAAGGGCCCTGAAAGTCTTGTAGGAATGACTTGCTTCAGCATATACAAGCCTGAACCTTTTGGTCTCATTGCCTTCGCAAGTCCCGCGGTTTACGCCAGCTTCACGACACCTCGGACAACCCGTCAGATTTACACTCCCAGAGGTGCTAAGCCAAGACCTGCAAATACTCAGACACCCCGAACCCCTCAAGCCTAAAACCGATACCTTATCCGCAAAAACTAGACAGTACACTAGCAGTTAAAGCCTGAAAGCCATTAAAGCAATTAAAGCCTTAAGGCAACTAAAGCCTTAAAGCATACAACTCAGAGTTATAGAAAGAGCCATGGGTCCACAGTCCCATGGCGACCGGGAGTGCAACGGGCTCCCCGCCACAGAAAACATCGAGACTGTCTCCGTCAGCGAGGCTTCGCTGCCTCGTCCTTTGGTTAGTCGGGAATGGAGGAATGGGGTACAAGTATAACTGCTGTTACTACCATTCTTCCATTCCCGACTAACCAAAGGGAAGTAATGGAATTATTAAGGCCCCTATATAGTAACCCTTATAGACCCCTTTATAAGGCCCGTTCCATTCCCGACTAACCAAAGGTAAGTTGCGCAGGGTCAAGATTCAGAGAGGAAGATTGGGAGTAGCAGTGTTTCAGGTACTACAGGGGCTTAAATCATTACAAGTACTATTTTGGGGGGGCTCCTTGTTATAATCATGGCATAAGGGGCCCCAGCGCCCTATTCCAATTGCAAGGCCCCCATATTATGGGTAGCGCGGGTCGAAATTGGCATAGGCTCCCGACTGCTACATCGAAGCCCTAAGGCCTGCCCGAACCTACAAGAAACTAGCTCTGTAGGCTGTAGGATCCCTCGAAGCAGGAGGCTTGTATGAAGACCAAAACAGGAAGTTCTAGTGAGTTCAAGTGTAAGTCATCCTACAGCCTCTGGCCTTGGAAGCTTCACATAGCTCTGCACCAGACTTCACTGATCTAATATAGGGGCCTTCATCGTTACCTATGCTATTTCGGTGGGTTCTTGATTATGACTATAGTACCCTATTCTACTCATTAAGGCCCCGATGCTATTCTTTGTAGCAAACTCTCTTTGCAGTCAGCCTGCTCCAGCTTTGTGCACTCCCAAGCCTTCGGAGGAGCACCTGGGTCCCTGGACTCTACCAGAAGAGGCCTCGCACATCTCAGAATTTTCGGCTGTGGTTGCAATATAAGGGTCGGAACAGTTACTGGTGCGATTCCCTAAGGTTCCGTGATGTGAGTTTCACATCGTGTTCGGATGTCATGGGACGCGGTTTAGGTCGGAGAAGGCTGAGAGTTAAAGTTAGTTAATCCCGATTTTCACACGTGCGGTTGTCAAGGGCTCAGGTGGAGTGTAGCACAAATGGACTTATGCACTTGACTTAAGACGAGTAGTCCTTCACGCGTTTCCATCAAGCTTCATCGTAGTTCTCTCTGCATCCCCAAGTCTGCTTTCGATTGCATGCACAAGAACTGAATCCAAGACGAGATAGTTTCTTTCTTTATTTCTTTTTTGATTCAACGCAATGCGCTCACTCCCTTCACACCTCGCTCGAGCTGTCCTTGCTTCTTCCATCCCGTCTTGCTGGGCTGCTGTCGTCATCATGTCCTGTACGGGTGATGCGAGGGTTTGACTCTGAAAACCTTCAAATCATCCGAAAGCCGCAGGATGTAAGGAGCATTCCAAGACGACAGGCTAATCTCCCTCGGAAACTTTTTAACAACTAAAGGCGCCCTTCTTGCCAGGCTTTCACTTACCTTCCAGAAGGTGACGACGCTTCGCACTGAGTGTTTGGGTCAGAGCCAGTTTAGGGAAGAGCCGAGGACGGTAATATAGGAGCTTCAAAAATTGCCTAGGACATTTTAGGGGCTCCTTATTACAAGTATAGTATAGCGGGCCCCCCCAACCCTAATCTGAATTTTGAAGCCCCTATATGAGTCGAAAGCTGGGGTTAAGGCTTCACTATAGGATTGAGGGTGAAGGATCCTCGGGTTTAGGATTTAGGGTCGGGTGTTCGGCTTTATGTAGTTTCGGAGACGTTTCTATAAGGGGTTTTCTCAAAGTTCACCAAAAAGGGGTGTATCTCCCCAAACCCTCAGAACTCGAAGACCCTGAAGCCTAAAGCCCTAAAACGTGTCCTTTCTTGTCCCATACTGCAGGTGGAGTCTACTGTTTTGAGATATGCTCACCTGTTGAAAATGCAGCTAAACCCAAAACGTTGCATAGGCTCACAACCCGAAACGCCGCGCAAGCCCCAAACCCTGAACCTAAGCCCCAAGTCAGAACCCTTATAGATTGATGGAATCCTGCACCCCGAAGACAAGTTCACACAACAATCCAGCATAAGGGACTGAAGCCCTAAGCCCTAGGCCTAAGTAAGCCCCAGGTCCTTGTGCGGCTTTCCAGCGGCCTCGTCGAGCGAAGGGTTCACGAGAACGTGGACTTCACGACTGAGGAAACAGCTGGAATCCTTCTGATGGTTTTGTCTAGGTAGGCCTTTGGGACATTGTACATTTTCCGTTACTGGGCTTAATAGAGGACCCTATTTACGAATATTTTTCAGAGGCTTTAAGGGGCCAACCTGGTTTTTGTAAGCTTGCATAGGTCGGGTTCTGGTGGTTCGGGCTTAGGCCTTCCTGTGCCACTCATATGGAGTTGTATCGAGTTCTGCCAAGTTTTCGCGGCGGGTGGGGGCAGGAGTTCTGGAGGGTCTGTCGGGGTTTGTTTGCTGGTGCGTCGAGAATTTATCAGGGATATTGTCAGAACCTTCACAAGAGTGTCTGTAAGGTGTTCGTAGTAGGGCAGTAGTTTTATGGAGGCAAAGGCCTCCATGATAACATAACCTTGTTCTAGCCATTAACCCTAAGACCCTAAGACTCCAAGCATACAAATAGTACCTACTTTGGGGTCTAAAGTTTATAAATAGTACCTACTTCGGGCTATTTGGAGTCCTAGGGTAAGGCCCTTGAGCTGGGCTGTTTATCGAATCCCTGATTATTGAGAGCACCTTTTGAAGCTCCGTAATAACCTGACGAGGAGAGTGAATCGCTGGAGCGCCTGCGTGCGGAGGCTCTCAGTTCTTTAAAGAAATCCATAAAACGGGACTACAAAGTGGGGTTCCATAGGATTCGATTATACTCTGCTTATACAAAGGGGTGTGGGGCTTTGGTTGTGTGGGGCTTCGGGGACTTGCACTGAATAGGGGGATTTTAGAGTTTGGAGAGTTTGCCTGGCCTCGGCATCTGCAATCGTCACCACGTTGGAGAGCATCCACGGCAAATAGATCAGGGGCAGAATAGCTGCCAAGCAACTGTGGTAAGGCTCACCCTGCATGTATCCGACACTTACACTCTTCATGACCGCACAGCGAGAAGGACTGAAGCTGTTGACAGTGTCCCTCTGCGAGAACATCTCATTTCTAAAGCGATGGAATCTAGGTATGGCGGTCTAATTGACTAGCCCTGCAAATACCGCCGTTATAATTGTACCCCATTCCTCCCTTCCCTAGTAACCAAAGGTCAGAATCTCCAGAACCCCGGCCCCCGGCCCGCGTTGAGGCGTGGCAGAGCGGCGCACGCTTCTGCCAGAATCTCAGCCCTGGCTTGGAGAAGGATCGGCTTCAGTCTTTAGGGGTATTAATAGAGGGCTTTAAATGAGTGCGTATACTATTTTGGTGGTTCCTTAATTAACCCACAGCGTACTGTGCCCCAAGACCCTATGGGAATCTAATTTTTGGGGGCTTCAGTTTTTAGGGTTTACTGCATTAGGGCTTCGCGTTTTAAGGGTTTGGGGGTTTGGGGATTCGCAGACGATCATCCCGTTCAAGGGTCTGCACTCTGAGGCCCTTGAAACGAAAAGTAGAATAGACGGTATCACACGACTTACGAATTGTTCGGAGCGCGAGTCTCCACCACGGCTTCTGCACAAAACCAAAGAAGCTTCTAACTTCTAGCTACCAACAGCGAGGGCGTGTGAAAGTGTGTCTTCAA